TTTTTTTGTCAGTTGTAGGGCTTGACCTCTGGGCCTGGGTGCTGTCCCTTAGGTCTTCAGCTCAATGCTAGCGCTTTACCACTTGAGCCACAGCACAACTTCTGGTTTTCTAGTGGTTTTTATTAGAGGTAAGAGTATCATGGACTTTTCCTATCTGGACTGTCTTGGAACTGCGATCCTCAGATCTCAGCCTGTTGAGTAGAGGAAAGTGAGGTTTATGTTTCTTCTCAGGTACAGGTTTGATTCAGGCATAGATTCATAAGCAACAGATAGATGACAGGTAGCAACAGCAATTTCAGCTTGTCTTCCTTCTCTGAACACATATTTTTCAAGCCCATCCTGGGGGCTTGAACTCTGGGTCTGGGTGCTGTCCCTGAGCCTTTGTGTTCAAGGCTAGTGTTCTACCACTTGAGCCACAGTGCCACTGCCGGCTTTTTGCAAGTAATTTATTGGAGATGAGTCTCATGGACTTTCCTGCCTGGGCTGGCTTTGAACCATGCATGGTCCTTGGAGCTCATCTTCCTGAGTAGCTAGGATTACAGGTATGAGCAACTGGTGACCCTGACTCTGAACATTTTAACATAATGATATAAAAAGCAAAAGTTGTTTTGGTTCCAAAGTTATGGTTACTATGGAGACAAGGAAACATACCTCAATTCTAAAATTAAGATATTTTTCAGTTTTTTCGAATTCTTAAGAGAAATACCTGCCCATGTAATTGTAATCCCTCTGTACAGTATTTTCACAATAATAAAAAAGAAAGAAAAAAAGAGGAGAAATACCTCAGTTAAAAAAATACGCTTTTTTTTTCTGTTATCAAAATTTAAGTTTGAACTCAGGCCCTCAGGGAGGGCCTCAAGTTTGCTTGTTTTGCTTTACCATGTGGGCTATACCCGATTTTTTTGTGCATGCCAGTACTGGGGCTTAAACTTAGGTCTCTAGATCTTTTTTTCAATCATGGATGGCACTCTACCACTTGAGCCATACTTCTAGTAAAAATAATTTTTTTCTTCTTGTTTTGGTAATACTGGGGTTTGAACTTAGGCCCTTATAGTTTTCACTTCTTGCTTATAGCTAGTGCTCTAACCTTAGCCATACCTCTAGTCTCAGCCTGGCTTTTTGCAGTTAATTTTGAAAATGGAGTCTCAAAGAATTTTCTGTCCTGGCTGGCTTTTAACTTTGATTCTCTAGATTTCAGCCTGCTGAGTAGCTAAGATCACAGGAATGTGCCACTGGCATCTGACTAGTTTAAGTATTTTTGAAAGGCATGTTTCTTCTGAACACATTTATACTTCAAATAAACATTTTTCTCTCTTAATTTAGATGTTTATTTGAGAAAAGAAACAATTCATGGATTAGGCAGTACCCCAAAGTACTAAAAGTTCAGAAAGCTCTACCTCTGAGGCAGTATTTACAAAGAAAGAAGACTTCAGGTAGTCAAGCTGGAAATTTTTAAGTCAATACTTTGTAACTTGGGGAGTATCTAAATATACTGAAAGCTGCTTTTTTACTTGTATACTAAGGTACGCTACACTGTACCTCTGCACAGGGGAAGCCTCAGGCAAAAACCTCTCAATTTTGGGTGAGTGACTAAAACCTTGGCCATTGACACTACTCTGTCATTATCAGAAATGGTCTTGATTTCAGCATGGAATTCACAACACCAAGTTAGTTGGATGATCCTTTGTTTTCTTCGATTCCTCCCCCTCCCACCCCCCGCCCTTTTATTTTGGTGGGTCGTGGGGCTTGAACTCTGGGCCTGGGTGCTGTCCCTCAGCTCTTCAGCTCAAGGTGAATGCTCTACCTCCTGTGCCACAGCACCACTTGTTTTCTGGTGTTTAGAGATAAGAGTCTCATGGACTTTCCTGACTGGGCTGGCTTTGAACCACAATCCTCAGATCTCAGCCTCCTGCGTAGCTAGCATAACCCTCACCCTTAATGTGTGCCAGTCTGGGGCTTAAACTCAAGGCTCAAGTTCTTGTTTAGCATTTTTCAGTTAAGGCTGGGGCTTTGCCACTTGAGCCACAACTCCACTTCTGACTTTTTGCTGGTTAATCACAAACTTTCTTGCCTGGGATGGCTTTGAACTGCAATCCTTAGATCTCAGCCTCTTGAGTAGCTATGATTACAAGTGTGAGTCACTGGTGGCTGGCTCTGTTTTTGTTATTCTAATCATAACACCATTTTGTTGAACAAAGTTTGGCTACAAAGTATGACTATTATGTTAAGCTTTAACATTCTTCCTGATGTATTTTTTCTTCTAATTCCCTTACCCATCTTTGTATCTTCCCCTCCCCTTTAATTCTTTCCCTTCAGTATTGGGGATTGAAGCTAGAGCCTCAGTTGTTGTTAGTATCTTTCACCAAAAAAAAGTAACTTCAGGAACTTTTAAGTGCTTTTCAATGAAAGGATGAAGTACTTGATGTCTCAACACTATGTACAAATCAATTCTTTGCTGATGTTCTATGCAAAATTAAAAACAATGTCAAAAAGTTTCAAACTTCAAGTATAAAGAATTCACTGTAGCTGACCTGTTAGACTAAAGAACCAAGGCAGGGGCTGGGAAGGTGGCTCAGTGGTAGAGCACTTGCCTTGCATGCATGAGGCCCTGGGTTCGATTCCTCAGCACCACTTTAAGCAAAAAGAAAAAAGCCGGAAGTGGCACTGTGGTTCAAGTGGTAGAGCACTAGCCTTGAGCTGAAGAGCTGAGGGACAGCGCCCAGGCCCAGAGTTCAGGCCCCACGACTGGACCCCCCTCCAAAAAAAAAAAAGAACCAAGGCAGCCTGCTCCTGTAACTAGCACTGAAGAGACTGCGGCACAAGGATGCTGAGTTACCAAAAAATAAAAATAAAAAACTGACCATTACTTTGCTTTTGAATTTATGTGATCCATTATAATTGTAACACTGTAATACAGTCTTCAACAGTTGGGTTAAACTCTATGCAGGAGGGCTGGGAAGGTCGCTCAGTGGTAGAGTGCTTACCTTGCATGCATGAAGCCCTGGGTTCGTTTCCTCAGCACCACAAAAGCAGAAAAAGCTGGAATTGGCACAGTGGCTCAAGTGGTAAAGCGCTAACCTTGAGCTGAAGAGCTGAGGGACAGCGCTCAGGCTGAGTTCAGGCCCCACAACCGACAAAACAAACAAAACACCTCTATGTAGGAAATTGTTAAACTGAAAAAAAATCATAAGGAAAAGTACTGTATATCAGTGACACTGGCATTACAGGGCATTTTCCTCCAAATAAATGAAATTTTATTTTTATGTAATTGGGATTTGAACTTAAGAGACTTACATTTGCTAGGTAGGTATTCTACCATTTGAAGCCATGTTCCTGTTCTTTTTTGCTTCAGCTGTTTTTTTTTTTTGGTGGGGGGAAGGGGTCGGTCGTAGATCTGAACTCTGGGCTTGGGCACTGTCCCTCAGCTCTTCAGCTCAAGGCTAGCGCTCTACCACTTGAGCCACAGTACCACTTTTGGCTTTTGCCGCTTATTTGGTGCTGAGGCTTGCAAGGCAAGCACTCTACCACTGAGCCACCTTCCCAGCCGTTTCAGCTGTTTTTTTTTTTTGTCGGTCGTGGGGCTTGAACTCTGGGCCTGGGCGCTGTCCCTCAGCTCTTCAGCTCAAGGCGAGCGCTCTACCACTTGAGCTACAGCGCCACTTCCGGTTTTCTGATGGTTTATTGGAGATAGGAGTCTCACGGTCTTTCCTGCCCAGGCTGGCTTTGAACCGCGATCCTCAGATCTCAGCCTCCTGAGTAGCTAGGATTACAGGCGTGAGCCACCAGCGCCCGGCTTTCAGCTGTTTTTTTAATGTGCAGGTCAGCCTGGATTGAAATCTTCCTTTTGATTTTCCTGAATAGCATGGGTGATAGTGGAAGAACACTTTGCCTAGCTTTTACTGGATAAAACAGGGTCTTGTAAACTGCTACCCCCAGAGTAATCTCAACCTTTGAGCCTCCTGAGCTCTACTTTTCACATAGCTAGGATTACTGGTGTGAACCACAACATCAATGACTGAAGTTTTGTTTTAAGTAGCAATACTCTAAGAACATATACGCAGGGCTGAGAATGTAGCTTAGTGGTAGAGTACTTGGGTTCAATTCCTCAGTACCATATAAATAGAAAAAGTTTGAAGTGGCGCTGTGGCTCAAGTGGTAGAGTGCTAACCTTGAGAAAAGAAGCTCAGGGACAGTGTTCAAGCTCTGAGTTCAAGCCCCAGGACTGGCAAAAAAAAAAGAAAAAAAGAAAAAAAAGAATAAACACACACACACACACACACAGCAAATCTGTTATTTCTATATGTATAGAAGCTATTACAGTGGTTTAGGTGCTTGAATTACCTTTCAACATGGTAAATTTCTATTCTTTAAATAATGATCAATATTTGCTTAGTTACTATTTTTCATATTCTTGATTTAATTAATGTGGATTAACTAATACCAAGAATAAAGCTTGTCTTTTCCTTGCTCAAGGATTATTTTCTAGACTTACTTCAATATTTCTACTAAAGATTAGATGTAGGCAAAATGTGGTAGCTTATGCCTACAATTGCAGATACTTGAGAGTTGGAGACCCGGAGGACTGTGGTCTGAGGCCAGAAAAGTTTGAGAGATCCCATCTGAACAAAACAAGCCATGTATTAGTGCATACTTGCCATCCCAGCAACATAGGAGGCCATAAAGAATCTCAGGCTGGCCCCAGGGAAAGAACAAGACCCGATCTGAAAAACAATCTTTAATAAAAATGGCTGGAGATATGCCTTAAGTGAAAGAGGGCTTTGACTAGCAAGTACAAGCTGAGTTCAAGACCTCAATAATCCAAACAACAACAACAACAAAACAAAAAACAAACCTAAAGTCAAATTTGGTAAAAGTATGTGATCTAACTTAATAAATATGTAGCCCATGAAAACTTTCAGAAACGAACCTATTCAGACTATTCTAAAATGTGTTTAAGCTCCTCATTGTGAAGAAAAAAAAAAGAAAACTGTCAGACAGGCTTCATATCAATTAGACAACTTTTACTAAATGAGAAAACTACATTTAAAATGTGCTTTAAAACAAATGGATTTAGAAAAAAAAGACATATGCATTTGAAAGAACTTTTGCACTGTGAAAATCAAATATTTCTTGCAGTAATACAATGCGCCAACCATAAAATGTAACAGAAACAGAATTCTCAACATTTTCAAAGACAATATTTAGGTCAAGAATTTCACATCTATGGTAGCAAATTTAGAAGGGCATTATAAATATTATGTCCATCCATATGAAGCTTACAAATTTGACAATGCTCAATAAAAGATTTTAGAATCACATCCGATAGTGTCACATCCACAGAATCACAAATCGGTATCCTGTAAAGTCTCCTTCTAAAATCTTTGTTGATTTTCCTAGTCCTTGCCATTTGTTAATGCTAACCCTTAAGGAAACAACAACAACAACAACAACAAAAACAAAAACAGAACAGGAAAAGAAATGCTGCAATAAACTCTTGATCATGTACAGAAATTATTGCTACTATAGTTCACTACAAAGCATATCTATACAATACCTTTGATTATGAAAAACCAATAAAAATCTTTAGTGACACAGCCTTACATAACATTCACATGGCAATATTAAGACAGTGAAGCACCCAATACCCATTGCTGACAAAATGTCCCACTGACCAGCATTCATTTAAATACATCCTTTTTGTATGGAGGCTAGGAAAAGGAAATAGTGTCATCTTTCCAAGGCTTGTCAAAAAAGGATTCTCATGTTTTGTGGATCTAAAAATCAAACAAACAACAACAACAAAAACCCCCCCAAATCAAAACCAATACAGGTGAGGGTGTTATCAGAAAGTTAAGCATGCCAAAAGGTGTTTCGTGCGAATTAAAATCTAAAGCCAATGTACCACATAATCACATTACCAACTAGATGGGTAATACTATATGAGCCTTATCTTAAAGTTAAATGAAATGCTACTGCACAATAGAGTGTCAATAAGTTAAAATTAGAGTGCACAAATTCAAATCAGTGGCAATTTGTAAAAAGCAAAATATTCACTATTAGCTGTAAAGTTTGCCCAGTAACTGCTTGATTAAAATCATTGGATTGGACAGTTTGCATTTTTTAAAAAACTATCAATCTCAAAAATTTCTTCTTACTGTAATGAGGCATACTTTTTTTTAGTAATATCAAACAGGTACATAAGTAGATAAGCAAAGGAAAATAAAAGCTGGTGAATGTCTTTAAAGCTCTTCCCATATTTCACTTTTTAAAATGTTTAGGGAAAAATTAAAATAGGTGCCATTATTCTAGCAAAAACAAACAAAACAAAATAAGCCCAAAATAATCAAACAACCAAGCAACACTAAAACCACATTACACAGATGGATCATCATGCTTTCATCTGATTTCACTATCACATCTAGTTTAACTGGGATGCTTTTTAACTTTAAAAATTGTGATACATGAAGATGTAACTTTAATGGATAATTTTGAAAATTTGGATTTAACTTTTTTTGAATATTATAACAGTATACTTATTACAATACAGTGTAGCACATCTTTCTATTAGAAAAAAATTTTAAGATCCTTTACCCGTCTCCTTAAGTTAAAGGTGTGACATCATAAAGGGTGTCAAATGGCTGGATGGTTTTACAGTGCACACTTATATATTATGAAGTATGTCCTTAACAAATCTGATGGTTTCCTTATAGAATTCCTTTCTTCACCTTTTCTTCGGTGGATTAGCTGTTCGAGGTGGAGTGACAGGGCGTCCAGAATTCAGTCCACCATACTGGTACTTAGCTTTCTTTTCAGATGGTTTCAATATCTTAAAATACATAATTTAACAATGTTATTCTTTCAATAAACGAAAACTGTAAAAGTTCAATGAAAGTGTAGAAAAAACAAAGTTCTACAAACATCTTGTATTTAAAAAGAATGTGTAAGGCCTGTGTGTATAGTTCGATTACTTAGCACATACAAGATCCAGAAGTTTAATCTTTAGTGTGTGAGTATGTATATACACGAAGTGCAAATACTTAAACACTTACAACATTGTATTAATATCTTAAAAACAAATACAACCTTTAAATTAAGTTGTATTTTTCTCAAATTAGTGCATCCCTATGGTGAGGAAAATAATACTGGTTTGAGAGGCAAAAGTCCTAAGAATTAATCATTCTGACAGTGATTTGGCAGGATAATTAATCTTTAAGCCACAAGTTATTCAGACTTTATTTTTTTATGAATAAATGAATCTTTTTTTTTTTTTTTGGGTCGGTTGTGGGGCTTGAACTCTGGGCTTGGGCACTGTCCTTGTGCTCTTCAACTCAAGGTGAGCACACTTTACCGCTTGAGCTACAGCACCACTTCCGGTTTTCTAGTGGTTTATTGGAGATAAGAGTCTCACAGACTTTCCTGCCTGGGCTGGCTTTGAACCGTTATCCTCAGATCTCAGCCTCCTCAGTAGCTAGGATTACAGGCGTGAGGCCAAAGAGCATCCGGCTTGAATAAATGAATTTTTTTTTTTTTTGGGTCCGGTCGTGGGGCCTGACCTCTGGGCCTGGGTGCTGTCCCTCAGCATTTCAGCTCAAGGCTAGCGCTCTACCACTTGAGCCACAGCGCCACTTCTGGCTTTTTTCTTTTTGCTTATGTGGTGCTGAGGAATCGAACCCAGGGCCTCAGGCATGCAAGGCAAACGCTTTTAACCACTGAGCCACCTTCTCAGCCCCGGAATAAATGAATCTTAAATTAAAAAATTTACTAATAAATTTTTATGCCATAAAGTTTACCCACTATAAGTGTATAAATCTTTAGCATATACATTTATGGTTATATACCTATTGCCCAAATCTAATTTTAAAATATTTCTGTCAACCACTAAAATAGACCTTTTTCCTATTAGCAGTCACTTCATATTCCTGTTCTCCTTATCCTCATAACCATAAGAAATCACCAATCTACTTTATGATTCTAAAGACTTAGTTATTATGAACATTTATCTGACACATATGTTCTCCACTTTTGTTTTCAAAGTTCCCTGTGCTACAGCATGCAACTTCATCATTTTTTATTGCTAAATTTTATTTTCAAGTGTATGGATATGCCACATTTTATTTACCCATCGTTGTTAGGGATTTGGGGTCATTTCCTTAAAAGTTACTTGCATAATGTACAAGATTCTGCATGAACATATGTTTTCATTTCTCATGTATATATACCTAGGAATGAAATTTCTAGGTATTATGTTTCACCTTTTGATGAACTGCCGAACTTTTCCATAGCAACTGCACCAATTTACAATCCTACCACTTTTATGTATACAGTTCTGAATTGCTTATGATCCTTGTAAACACTTGTTACTTTTTTTTTTGGTCAGTCGTGGGGCTTGAACTCTGGGCCTGGGTGTTGTCCCTTGGCTCTTCAGCTCAAGGCTAGTGGTCTACCACTTGAGCCACAATGCTACTTCTGGTTTTTTGGTAGTTTATTGGAGATAAGAGTCTCATGGACTTACCAGCACTCAGCAACACTTGTTATTTTTATAGAAAATATTTATTTTTTGTTGCTCATGAGTCTTGAGCCACAGTGCCATTTCCAGCTTTTTCAGTTTATGTTGTACAGAGGAATTGAACCCAGGGCTTCATGCATGCTAGACAAGTACTCTACCACTAGGCCACATTCCCAGACATGCACTGCATTCTTTAGTAATTATTCAACAATTAAATCAGAAATGATTAAGTTTGCTAAAATCTTCATGTTTTATATATACCAAAAAAGGCTGTAGCTGGGCACCAATGGCTCACACCTGTAATCCTAGCTACTTAGGAGGCTGAGATCTGAGGATCACGGTTCAAAACCAGCCCAGACAGGAAAACACGGTGAGACTCTTATCGTCAATTAAACACAAGAAAACTGGAAGTAGCGCTGTGGCTCAAATGGTAGAGCGCTAGCCTTGAGCTGAAGAGCTCAGGAACAGCGCCCAGGCCCAGAGTTCAAGCTCCACAACTGTCCCCCCCCCCCAAAAAAAGGTGGGGGGAATCAAAAAGAAAACAAAGAATCAAGCCAAGTGCCAGTGGCTCACGTCTGTAATCCTAGCTACTCATGAGCCTGAGATCTGAGGATCTCGGTTCAAAGCCAGCCCAGGCAGGAAAGTCCATGAGACTCTTATCTCCAATAAACCACTAGAAAAACCAGAAGTGGCTCTGCTGTTTAAACGGTAGAGTGCTCGCCTTGAGCTGAAGAGCTGAGGGACAGCACCTAAGCCCAGAGTTCAAGGCCCGTAGAGTTCAAGGCCCATGACCAACAAAAAAAGAAAAAAGAAAAAAAAAAGAAAAGAAAGAAAACAAAGAATCATCCAACTGACGGGGTCTCGTGAATTCCATGCTGAAATCAAGGCCATTTCTGATAATGACAGAGTAGTGTGGCTCAAGTGATAGAGCACTAGCTTTGAGCTGAAGAGCTCAGGGGCAACACCCAAGCCCCACAACCGACAAAAAGCTGTTAACTTTTTAACTAAAACTTGAAATAGTTAATGAGTCTGAGTGATTATCACTTTGGAATTTTCAACAATATATTCAAGGAAAGATCACAAGTCTAAAAAAAAATTCTGATGATAGTTTTAATTTCTAATTGCTAGAAATTTACATTTACGTCATACCTGAAATGAACACATCAGAGTTTCATCCACACTCATCATTCCACCAGCATTGTCAAACTCGCCACAGTAATTTGGGGCTGAAAATAGGGTTACCAATTGTCGTTTAGCAAAAAATTCATATCCATCTTCTACCACCTGTTAAATGTCAAAAGACAGAAACACTTACTAAAAGAAAATTCTTAACCATCTATGTTAATAAACCTAAAAGCTCTCCTTACTTTGGAAGTTATGATTCTGAAAGGCTGCTGGTCCTGGGCTTGAACTCAGAGCCTGGGCACTGTCCCCAAGCTTTTTTGTTCAAGGCTTGGGCTCTACTGCTAAGCCACTTCTCTACCCCAGCTTTTTGCTAGCCTGGTTATTTTACAGAGTCTTAGAGATTTTTCAGCTTTCAACCACAATCTTCCTAGTTTTCAACCTCCTGAATAACTATGATTACAGGTATGAGGTACTGAGGTCTGGCTTTTGAATTTTTATATATTTATTTTCCTTAACTAATTTAAAACAATTTTTAGAATCTGATGTCAATTCCTAAACGATTTAAGTAATTTATTTCTGTTCTACAATATGAAGTAGGAAAACACCATATAAGCACGTGAAACAGTGTTTTAACATATAACTATTGAGTTAATTTTTGTAATCTATTTTAGGTATCCTTTGATTAAAAAAAAAGGGAGGGGCTGGGAAGGTGACTCAGTGGTAGAATGTTTGCCTTGCATGCCTGAGGCCCTGGGTTCCATTCCTCAGCACCACATAAGCAAAAAGAAAAAAGCCGGAAGTGGCACTGTGGCTCAAGTGGTAGAGCGCTAGCCTTGAGCTGAAGAGCTGAGGGACAGCGCCCAGGCCCAGAGTTCAGGCCCCACAACCGGACCAAAAAAAAAAGGGACCACCACACTGATCTTCAACACAATGATGTCTTTGGCATTCAGTACATTTCTTTTTTTTGCCAGTCCTAGGGCTTGAACTCAGGGACTAGATGCTGTCCCTGAGCTTATGTTCAGGCTAGCACTTTACCACTTTAGCCACAGTGCCCTGTCAAGCTTTTTCTGAGTAGTTTGTTGGAGCTAAGAGTTTCAAGGACTTTCCTGCCTGGGCTGGCTTTGAACCTTAATCCTCAGATCCCAGCCTTCTGAGTAGCTAGGATTATAGGCATGAGCCACCAGCGCCTAGTTTCTTTTTCTTGATGTCAGTTTTAATTTTAATTAATTTATTTTAATGTTATTTTAACGGTGACATATAGAGAGGTTATACTTATGTAAGTCAGGTAATATGTACTTTTCTTTTTGGACAGTGTCACCCCTTCTCTTGCTCTCTCCATTTTTCCCTCCCGTTCCCACCCACAAGTTGTATAGTTCATTTTCAACACAGTGTCTAGTAAGTACCACTGCTGTATTTGTTCACCTTTATCTCTCCATTTCTGTGCCCCCTTTGCTCTCCCAAAGACAGATAAGACAGAAAAGAAAACAGAAACAACAAAGAAAAGATCTCTTGTTTCCATTTCTGAGTTCATTTCAATAAGTTTTATTTTATATAATCAAAAGACCTGAGCTTTTCTGCTCAAGGCTTGTACTCTACCAATTGAGAGATTGCTCCAATTCTGGCTTTCTGGTTAAGTGGATATAAGAGTCTCACACATTTCCCTGTCTGTGCTGTCCTCAGATCAAAGCAGTTAGTTACTACAGGTGTGAGCCATCAACACCCAGCTTAGTACATATTTATTAGGTTTTTGCTGCTATTCATTCTTTCAAACATTTTTTTTTTGGGGGGGTCCAGTCGTGGGGCTCAGGCCTGGGGCTGGGCCTGGGCGCTGTCCCTCAGCTCTTCAGCTCAAGGCTAGCGCTCTACCACTTAAGCCACAGCCAGCTTTTTTCTTTTTGCTTATGTGGTGCTGAGGAATCAAACCCAGGGCCTCAGGCATGCCAGGCAAGCGTTCTATCACTGAGCCACCTTCCCAGCCCTCAAACATTTTTTTAAAGGAAGTAACATGATTAAAATTAAGCACAATAGGGCTTTAGCAGTTTCTGGAAAGCAACATGCAATCTAAGGCAGTTCATTAATATGAAATTTTAAAATGAAAATAAAAATTGATGTTTTAAAATTATATTTGAAAGACCATTGGACAGTGGATATTTATGGCTGAAAATCTAATTATCAGTGGGGATTTTAGAGAACTTAGCGAATCTGCTCTGAAATCTAACAGAATGCTTAATTACCAAAATTAAACATATAATGTTTATTGATTAAAAATAACCAAACCAAAAGCAAAGGATTTATATATTCATTCAATTACTAGGAAACATCACGCATATGATATGATGCATAGTGTGGGAAGAAGAAACCAGTCACTTGTTCATTATTAAAATCATGCTGACAGGGGTAGAAGTGGTTAATCAAAGAGGGTTTAGTCCCAGAGAAAAGAAATTGTGGAATAGCTTGTAATTTATTCAATACATTTTGCTCAAAGTTGGCCAAGAAAGGAGGGCATATTAATCTTAGCACCTGGGAAGTAGAAGTAGAAGGATTTCAAGTTCAAAGCCAGCCAGGACTACATAGCAAGATCTTGTCTCAAAAAACAAATAACCAAAAAAAGACTTTTAGATATGCTTTCCAATGAATTATTTTATCACAGCTAAAAGAGTTAAACAATGATACTCTGATTTCGATTAAATTCCTTATTTAAAAAATTTCTTATAATTTCCTAAGCACAAAACAATATCCACATGACTATGAATAACATTTGACTGTTATCCATAAAGTTCACATAAAAAATCTGAACAGCACCCAGAAAACCTCCCTCAATCAACACTGAAAATTTTGTTGAGGTTGAACTTCACTGTACTACAAAAATAAATCCTTTAAAGCTAGGTACTGGTGCTCACATATGTTACCCTAAATACTCAGGAGAATGAGATCTGATGATCCTGGTTCAAAGCCAGCTGAGACAGAAAAGTCTGTGAGATTTTTATCTTCAATTTCAGTAAAAAGCTGGAAGTGTATGTGTGGCTCAAGTGGTAGAACACCAGCCTTGAGTGAAAAAGTGATGTGAGAGAGAGCATTCTGACTGGGTGTCCAAGCCCCAGGTTTGGCATGTACATGCCTGTGCATGTGCAAACACACACACAAACCCCCTTTAGGAATGCTTCAAATAGAGTGAAAAAAGGTTAACAAATCATTGATTAAATTGTAAGCTCTGTCTCTCCTATTTGCTTTCCTTGTAATTCATGTTACCTTTCTTTGATCTTAATTTGCTTAAAAATAAAATGGATAATGTAAACTTAACGAATACAATATTCAAGAATCTCTCTTATATTTCATACCTGATGAGCTCGACAAATCAAGTCTAAATCATGACGATTCAGAAATTTACTGACTACATCAGCTCCAAAAGTAAAAGAAACACCACGATCATTTTCTCCCCAGCCTTGTACATCTTTGTCTGGGTCAGACCACAGCAAATCACAGAGCAAACCTTTAGAAAATAGAAAAACAGCAACGAAAAATCAAATCTTCTATAAAGTGTATCTATAGCACATTTCTTATGCTACTCTTTAATGAACAATGACAATAATCTGCTCTTTAGTACTCCAGGCTATCTTATTATTCCTTTGTTAAAGCAATCATGTAAATAAATACACGGAAATCTCTTATGTACAGGTTTTCCATGTGAATAATCCAGCATCATTACCTGAGTAGCTGATTGTTTTTCTTTTCCTTTTTTTTTGTTGTTCAAGGGGCTTGAACTCTGGGTCCAGGTGCTGTCACTCAGCTCCTCAGCTCAAGTTGAACACTCTACCACTTAAGCCAAAGTGCCACTTCCAGTTTTCTGGTGGTTTATTGGAGATAAGAGTCTCACAGACTTTCCTGCCTGGGTTGGCTTTGAACCGTGATCCTCAGATCTCACCCTCCTGAGTAGTCAGGATTACAGGCGTAAGCCACTGGTGCCCCACAGTTGATCCTTTCTTTAGAAAGCCAGACCTTTTCTGAGTACCACTATATTCAGTTTTATCTTACTTATCCTCAACTTGATAAATACAACTTTTTAGTTAAGTCTTTACATTTGGTGGAGCTAAGATTTCCACTTAATTTTTTCCTTAAAGATTGTCCCCATTACAGAATTCTTTGTTCTTCCACATACTTCAAAAGCCACTTGCCTAATTCCATTAAAAACATTCTTTGGCATTGCATTAGTCTATAGGTCAATTTGAGGAAAGAAACCATTTCTTATTGAGCCATAGAGGATTAAAAACTAAGGTGGAGGAATAAAATCTTTTTTTTTTTTTGAGGAATAAAATCTTTTTTTTTTTTGTCGGTCGTGGGGGCTTGAACTCTGGGCCTGGGCGCTGTCCCTCAGCTCTTCAGCTCAAGGCGAGCGCTCTACCACTTGATCTACAGCGCCACTTCCGGTTTTCTGGTGGTTTATTGGAGATAGGAGTCTCACGGTCTCTCCTGCCCGGGCTGGCTTTGAACCGCGATCCTCAGATCTCAGCCTCCTGAGTAGCTAGGATTGAGGAATAAAATCTTATCAGTAACTCTAGGAAAAGATGTCAGTGCTAAAAAAATTGAGAATCTTCATAATCTTAACAAGTAGTGGAAATTTTAGGAGGGATTGAGAAAAAGTTCATTTACTACCTAAATGAATTCAAAGGCATCTAAATAATTACCAGACAGAGGAAATGACTCAAGTGATAGAGCATCTGCCCTAGAGCAAGCGTGAGGCTCTCGGTTCAACCCTCTATACCAGTAAACATTTACTAGAGCCAGAGGAGGAGGAAAACATTTAAAAGTATATTGAAAAGTAATGGTTAGAACAAAGGGAAAAGATTAATATAGTAACGGTATTCTAAAAGGGGAAAGAACTATCAAGTAGGAAATAGCATGATTACAAGTACACGAACTAATGTAGTAAGGAAAAGACTAATATGCTACTTTGACAGACTTACCAGACCTTGAAGAAAGCAACCTTTTTTTTGGTTCATCGTGGGGCTTGAAATCTGGGCCTGGGTATAGTCCCTGTGCTCTTCAGCTCAAGGCTAGCGCTCTACTGCTTGAGCCACAGTGCCACTTCCGGTTTTCTAGTGGTTTATTGGAGATAAACCGGGCTGGCTTTGAACCGAGATTCTCAGATCTCAGCCTCTTGAGTAGCTAGGATTACAGGTGTGAGCCACCATTGCCCAGCAAAAGCAACATTTCCCCCCACCTTTGGTGAGTAATAGGGCCTGGGCGCTTTCCCTGAGCTCTTTTTGCTCAATGCTAGCACTCTCACTTTGAGCCACAGCATAGTTTCTAGTTTTCTGGTGACTAACTGGAGGTAAGAGTCTCACAGACTTTCCTGTCCAAGCTGTCCTTGAACTGTGATCCTCAGATCTCAGTCTCCTAAAGGGCTAGGATTAAAGGCATGAACCACTGGTACCCAGCTGAAAGCAACTTTTTAGTGGCCTAGTATGTAAATTAATGGGTAAAAGTAAAACTGTCAGATCAAGACTATGGATAGATATTGAGGTGATGGCACTGAATTTTTAAAGTACAGTGGCTCTTAAGGATATTTTTCATAGAATGAGTTTTAACATTTGAAAAAAAAAACCTATACTGGGCAATGATGGCTCACACCTGTAATCCTAGCTTCTCAGGAGGCTGACCTCTTTTGACTTTCTGATGGCTAATTGGTAATAATAGTCACATATGGACTTTCCTGCCCAGGCTGGCTTTCAATTGAGATTCTCAAACAGCCTCCTACTAGCTAGGATTATAAGATTAAGCCACAGGCACCAGGCATAATTTAACTGGTTTTCAAAGGACATACCAATACCAAGAATAGTGAAAGAATTTGGAAAGATAAAAAGGTAACTAAGGAGAATTCACAGTGAAATCTTTTCAGTTACAAATCTGATAGAACTACATTAAGAAGTTCTGCACACATTTTGGGGGATGACTAGTGAAAAATAAAGTATTTTATGCTACAGCAAATAAAGTCATATATAGTAAGCTTAAAGACAAAGAGATCTTTTATTAAATTAATCCTACTTTCACTAAATATAATTAGGTTCATATATGTCAATATTTTACACAAAGTAATTAAACTTCTTTGTATACTACCTGTATCAGGGACATCAGTAGGTCTCATAATTCTCCGAATCTGTTCCATGGATTGAAGGTCTGGTGATAGTCCTATAAATAAAAAGATGAGATGCAGTCTTGATATCTAACAGAACTTATGTACTGGTTACTGTTTTTCTCCCGTAGATAATAACAAAGCATTAAGCTAAACATTCATATTTTATATTCTTAGCCATACTAATGTACAAACTTACAATTCCTTGAATGCCTAATATCAAAGAAAAATGCATTTCAATTAATATAGTGAATTTTGTCAGTATACAACATTTACTACCAAAAATCAGTAGTAATCATTGCATCTGTTTTTTTGGGTTCGGTAATGGGGCCTGAGCGCTGTCCCTCAGCTCTTCAGCTCAAGGCTAGCGCTCTACCACTTGAGCCACAGTGCCACTTCTGGCTTTTTTCTTTTTACTTATGTGGTGCTAAGGAATCAAACCCAGGGCCTCTGGCATGCAAGGCAAGCGCTCTACCACTGAGCCACCTTCCCAGCCCCTGCATCTATTTTTTTCAGCACTTTTCCACATTAAATTCTTCTCCTATATAATTTTCATTACATTTCTTCCTTTTACAAAAATGTCAGCTACTAAACCATTCAATGAACTTCTAGGCCCAGTGTTCTATAATTTTATTTCATCATTCCCCAATGTAAACTTGACATTCACATAGGGCCAGTCCTTGCACATTCTCTGAACTCAACATACTTTTTTTTGGGGGGGGGGGGGGGGTCTGGTCATGGGGCCTAAACTCTGGGCCTGGGTGCTGTCCCTCAGCCCTTCAGCTCAAGGCTAACGCTCTATCACTGAGCCACCTTCCCAGTCCCTCAACATACTTTTTCAAGATCTTTTTACTGTTTTAAGATTATATTTATCCTCTAAATCCATGCCTTCATAAACATTTGCCCAACAATGTTCTCCCAATTCTGACTTGTCATAATTACTATCTTACTAACATAAGCAAATTCCTTTTATCACGTAATGTTTCATAAATATAATTTACCTATATGCTTTGAAACCCTTCACTGTAACCAGATCATATATATTTTTATAGCCTCTCAAGCACAAGATGTACACCATTTCATATAATAAAATAGCTTACCAGTTTACCAAGAGAGTTACTATTAGGACTAAAGTTGACATACTGCACAAAGTCTAGAACTCTTAATATGTGAATATTAAACTCAAAACATTTAGATTCTCACCAAAAGTATTTAGGCAGAAGATAATAATTTTTACTGATTTCACAGGAATCTTTCACCAAATTTGATATATTGTTATAGTTAAACCCAAATACCAAATTGATATAAATGGAAGATATTTAAATATCTAGTTGTCTTCTTTATTAATAAATTGACTTTTAACTCAAATACTATTTGTTTCCCCAGATGATCTTTATTTTTTTTTGTAGTATTGGGGTTTGAACTCAGGGCCTGGGGCTTACTAGGTCAGTATTCTACCAATTAAGCCACATTCCCAGCTTCTCCAGAGCATCTTGTTGCAAATCTTTTCAGAACATAAGAATAGTAAAAACTCCACAGACATATGGATTACTCTACCTCCGTGACAACAGAAGATCTTCTCATCCACAATGGCAGCTATAGGCAGACAGTTAAAACAATCAGTGAACGTCTTCCATAATTTAATATTAAACCTTCGTTTGCCTATAAAAAAACAAGCATTTAGAATTAATAAAAAAATCTCAAACTGTTCTGATTAGTTACCTCAAAGCCATAGAAGATGAATAGTTTTCATTTTCTTCTTTGTGCTTAATTATCAACTTTCCCCCTGTACGTGAATAAAAAGTTATGACAAATTTCATTGGTTGGGGATGAAACTCAGTGGAAGAGCACTTACACAGCATAAAAAGGCCCTGAGTTTGAGCCATAGCACAGGAAAAAAAAGTTTTACATACTTTTAAAAAGTAGGCTTTTTATTTAAATATGCTTTAAAAAAGATATTCAGTATCTTCTGTAAAGACCAGAGATTATACTAGGCATTTTATGAATCAAATACATCAATTTTTTAAGATCATCATAATACACTCATTTTGAAATAATCTAGTAAATATTAGATTGTTTTCCCTTTAACATGAACATAATTAAATACCTAGCCAAATAAGTAAGCAGGGGGCTGGAAGGTGGCTCAGTGGTAGAGCGCTTGCCTTACATGCATGAGGCCCTGGGTTCGATTCCTCAGCACCACATAAGCAAAAAGAAAAAAGCCGGAAGTGGCGCTGTGGCTCAAGTGGTAGAGTGCTAGCCTTGAGCTGAAGAGCTGAGGGACAGCACCCAGGCCCAGAGTTCAGGCCCCACGACTGGACCCAAAAACAAAACAAAAAACCAAATAAGTAAGCAGAAGTGAAAGGGGTTCCTTAGGAGACTGTCAATTTTGACTCTAGTGCACAGAGTAGTAGATATAAACTTAAAACCTAGAAATGAAATTTTTAGAGGTACTTAACTAGTTTTCACTTTTGCATGAATTACAACTTGGCACTATAGCAAGTAAAAAGACACAAAGCTATAATTTCCCAATAGCCTAGCTTAATTAGCTATAACAAAAACAATCTCAAGCACATGTTCATCTTTATACTTACTACCTAGCCAGAGGAAAGATGAAAGACAAAAGTACTAATTTCTTATGTTTGTACAGTATAACTTGTTTCTTAATAAGTAAGTATAACTCAAACTGTTTACAAGCAACTGTCCCATGAATTATTGCATTTGATGTCATTTATATCCTCAAAAATCTTCATACCTCTATTTTATCTTTCAAGAATGTACCTATATACTTCTATTTCTGATATAACTTTAGTAATATAGTTATAGTTTGATGTACTTCATACTTCAACTCTTTAATTTAAACAAGGAAAACCACATAGTATACCACAGAATTAAAAAATGCAATATAAAGTCAAATGCAAACACTTTCCTAAGTATCTAAGTTCCACAACCATAGAGATCAATCTGTCTTAAATATTGGTACATTCCTGTCAATGGATAATTTAGCATTAAAAAAAGATAAATTCAGCTGGGTGGTGGCGGCTCACACCTATAATCCTAGCTACTCAGAAGGTTGAGATCTGAGGATCAAAATTTGAAGCCAGCGCGGGAAGGAAGTGCATGAGGCTCTTATCTCCAGCTAACTACCAGAGCTGTGGCTCAAGTGGTATAGCAAAAATAAAAAACTCAGGGACAGTACCTATGCCATGAGTTCAAGCCCTAGTATTGGCACACACACACGTACATACACACAAAAGAATTCTAAAGGCTACTAAACTGTAGTCAATCTAAAGCAACATGACCAAGGAGATTCCAAGAAACAAACATGTTCCTAGTTTCAGTTTCTTCTTTTTGGGCCTCTGCTCAAGAACTGAAGGAACTCCTCTGAAATGGTTATTAGGAAATGCTCCCATTAATTACTTTTCAAAGTTTTTGATTTCACTTACATTCATCATAGAATCCATAAATGCGATTGATACTAGCACACTCATGGTTTCCTCTTAAAAGAAAGAAGTTCTCCGGATATTTGATTTTATAAGCCAATAGCAAACAGATGGTTTCCAAAGACTGCTTTCCTCTGTCCACATAATCTCCTAAGAAAAGATAGTTGGCTTCTGGTGGAAAACCTCCATATTCAAATAGTCTCAGTAAATCTGTATACTGTCCATGAATATCTCCTAAAAACAAAACAAGTTAGTTTAGAAAAATTGTTTTAAAGCTGTTTCTATGAAATAGTTTCCAATGTTCACAACCTTATGCAATCCCTTCCCCCATAAGTATAGGCTATACCTATTGTGATTTGTTTCTAACAAACAAGATATAACAAAATAGCCTGTCTACTTCTAGTTGAACCTTCAGACGACTGAGGTCCCAGATCACCCCTTATTGGAGCTTTATGAGAGAACCAGAGCCAGAGAATCCAGCAAAGGTTGTGTCTGAATTCTCTGACTCACAGAAACTGATGGTAAATTAATGTTACAGTTTTAGGGTATTTTTTTTTTTTGTACAAGGTAACTGATACAGCTACTCTTAATATATGATAGTTTAACTTAGTTACTATGTTATACCAAAAATCAAGAATTAAGAAAGAGTACAAATAACTTCCATTACCTTCAAGTTATTTCTATATTAAGTAACATTCCAAAGAATGCTGATTTTTTTCTTGGTCTAGTAACATGTCTTATAATACTGTTTCAAAATGCTGGACAACAGAAGCATGCTGTTGAAATTTTAGGATCACTTATGAATACATTTGCTTTTCATAAAAGTGATTGACCTTTTCAGCAAATTCCAAACTTCTTATTTCTTAAAGGTGATATGCTAAGGTAATAAATTAATTTAACAAATATTTACTTATTAGTTGGGCACTACACAAAGGAACACCAAATACACCACTTCCTGAACCACTAAGAAAAATAAACAGTATTTAAGAAACACATGAAGGCTGGGAAGGTGGCTCAGTGGTAGAGTGCTTGCCTCGCATGCACAAGGCCCTGGGTTCAACTCCTCAGCACCACATCAGCAGAAAAAGCTGGAAGTGGCGCTGTGGCTCAAGTGTTAGAATGCTAGCCTTAAGCTGAAGAGCTGAGATATAGAGCCCAAGCCCAGAGTTCAGGCCCCACGAATGGCCAAAAAAAACCAACAAAAAAATACATGACATGTCTGCAAGTTATATGTATGGTATGACTGTAGATCACTAAGAAACATGTAAGACAAGAAAAAATTTTGCATGTACACAATTATCTTTGAGCAAAAGCTGATCTAAGTGCATTAAAAAGTTCTATCATGAACACTAATGGTCATTGTGAGGAATATCATTGCACTGAGCATGGATGGCTAACCCCTGTAATCCTAGCTACTCAGGGGCTGAGAACTACAGAAAAATGCTACTTCCTGTAGAACAGTTTTTTTTTTTTTTTTTTAATGGTTTTAACAAGGAGATCTAAGATAATAGAAAAAAAAACCCAAAAAATTTAAATAATCATAGCAAAGTTATAAGATATTGCCATACTGACCTACAAAACTGACCCACAGAATTTTGAATGATCTGGACTACTCATTTCCGTATATCACTGAAAGCACTAAACAATATTTGATAATTCTTATAATCAGATTAGAAGTATGGACTTCTCTGAAATTGCATTTCCTTGATTATTAGTGAGGCTGAGGACCTTTCGTTTACTGATCATTTTAATTTCTCCTATCGTTTGTCTCTTTTTGTTCTTACTGTATTTTTATTTCCTTATTCTAAGAATGCTATATTTATGAATTGCAATCTTTTAGCCTGTAGTATCAAACATCTTCTTGTTTAAAATGTGCCTTTTTTTTTTTTGGTCAGTCATGGGGCTTGAACTCTAGGCCTGCGTGCTGTCCCTCAGCTCTTCGGCTCAAGGTGAGTGCTCTACCACTTGAGCCACAGCTTGGCTTCCAATTTTCTGATGGTTTATTGGAGGTAAGACTCTCACTGACTTTCCTGCTTGGGCTGGCTTTGAACTGTGATCCTCAGATCTCAGCCTCCTAAGTAGCTAGGATTACAGGCGTGAGCCACCGGCACCCAGCTATAACCTTATCATTTTTAAGTTTCAATTTTGTTTTATAACCTTTCCCAACTGCACTCATTACATACCACAAATTTTCAGTGGTGCTTCCAATTCCAAAAGAATAGGTTGGCTGAGAAAGATCTCCCGAGATTTAATACATAAGCCCCGAACTTCTGCTTCAGTCATTTGCACGATTTTTCCTGGACGACATCCTCGTACTGATAAAACAAGGCACAGAACAAGTTAGTTTTCTGAAATGTATCCATAATCCTTAAAAAAGAATTACTCCTCTATTTTTGCAGATCAGAAAAGTCACTCATGTAGCTAAAGTGTCCTACTGAGTTGTGTGTGTAATAGGATTCTTTTATGATCTGGGCTTCATCACCAATGTTTCTGGTTCCATACAATGTTCTTCAAGTCTGTTCCAATAAAATATAGCCTTCTTGGCTCTCTGGCAACCAACTTCTGGCCTAGCAGCTCAAGAGACCTAAAAATTTTTTTCAGGGACAGCACTTTAAGGGTCTGCCCTATTCACCCATCAAAACAAGTCTAGCATATAGTACGAAGCCAGAATATCATCACTAAGAACCCATGGCTATGAAGAATAGGAGATTAAAAAAAGTGGTTTTCAGTGATTTTATTTGAGATACTTCCTTGGAATATTATCAGCAAGAATTTAAGCAATGACCACTTCAATTTACTGTTTTTTAAAAAAGCAAGATGTGCCAGATCATGTACCCCTATTACTTCTCATTTATAATTAGGCAAAACGTAATTTCTTGCTAAAAATTGCTGATTATTTTGTCAGGTCACCAAGTCAGGTTTAAAAAAGTTAGGCCCCTAATGTGTACAAGCTGTAACATTCCATCAATATCTTAACATAAGTACCACAAAAAAGAGGTAAGACAAACAATACACCAACATGTTTTAGAAAACATGCCAATTTAGCTGAGCACCAGTGTCTCATGTCAGTAATCTTAGCCACTCCAGAGCCTGAGATCTGAGGACTGAGGTTAAAAGACAGTATAGGTTGGAAGTGGCGCTGTGGCTCAAGTGGTAGAGCGCTCGCCTTGAGCTGAAGAGCTGAGAGACAGGGCCCAGGCCCAAAGTTCAAGCCCCACAACTGACCAAAAAAAAAAAAAAGACAGTATAGGCAGGAAAGACTATGTGATTCTTATCTCCAGTTAAGCACCAAAAAACTAGAAGTGAAGCTGTGGCTCAAGTGGCAGAGTGCTAGCACTGAACAACAAAGCTCACAGATAGGGCCTATGCCCAGAATTCAAGATGCAAGACAGACACAGTCAGACAGACAGACAGACAGACATGTGTGCTTGACTAACTAGTTATATCTATACATCGGAATCCAATTAATGGGTTCAGAGGAAGCTTAGTTATACTAATTTGTAATTTCACAAAACTCTACCCTTTGCAAACACCGAGTATTATCAATATTTTAAAATAATTTTGAATACAAATTCTTCAACAAATCTAAATTATAAAACAATCATAATAAATCAATTGTTTAGTGTTCATGAAATTTTTGCCTTTTCTACAGAAATTTCCTTTTCTTTAACATGTACATGTTACTTTTTCTCCAATTTAAAATGTACTATTCTATGTCCTTAAATTTAAAACAGGACCTTTGTAAACAGTTTCTGTGAGATCCACTATTGGATTTTGTGTTTGATTTTGTGTTGAGTCCTTGAAACTCTTATTTCCAATAAACCATCAGAAAGCTGGAAGTGGCACTGTGGCTCAAGTGGTAGAGCGCTCGCCTTGAGCTGAAGAGCTGAGGGACAGCGCCCAGGCCTAGAGTTCAAGCCCCATGACCAGCCCTCCCCCCCACCCCCCGAAAAAAGTCTATGTAGTGTTTTCTGTAGAAAAACATTTATCACTTGTTATCAAACCAGCAGAGTAGCAATAGTTACCTTCACTTGCTATTGTCAGTTTTATGAATATTTGTCAGTAATGAAAACTGAATACCCTAACTCGTCCCATGGTGATAGCTCATCATGATAGTTTTGTTATGATTGTGATTTTGTATGTGTGCATACGTGTGTGTGCCTGTATGTGTTGGTCCTGGAGCTTGAACTGAGGGCTGAATATTTTTGGTAGAGCCTAGTGCCCTATCACTTGAGCCATATCTGTACTTCTGGCTTTTTTAATGGCTAACTGGGGATAACAATCTCAAGGACTTTTCTGCCCAGATTGGCTTTGAACTGTGATCCTCAGTTCTGGGCCTCCTGAGTAGAGGGTCTAGTGTCTGACAATATTTACAGTTCCTATCTGTATAAAAAGACATTTTTCAAGTTGTAATACCTAAAATCTCATTACAGATGAGAATCAACAAATGACCACATGTAATCCAATTTTTAACCAATATTGATGACTAAGAACACTAATTTCTAATCTTATTAAGCAAAATGTACTTTTTCATCAAAAGAATTCCATTCTCATAATTATAGAAAATTGTACTCAAGCAACAACTCCAAGTATTTTATTTTTTTCCAACACAGGTTTGTCTTTTCAATTACAACAGGTACACGATCTATGTTTTTGTATGCTGTATATACAAATTTTTCACTAACCATCAGTACTTTCACCAGCAAGTTCTTTCTTGCTGCTTTCTCTCAAACAGAAAGGATAGCAAGGAAGAAAAAAAAAAATCCAATCACCTCGGTATGTCTGCTTCATAAAATCTTTGTAATCTTCATTAATGACACTTTAACTTCTATTAACTTACTCAGTTCCTATTCACTCAACACTACACAATAAGGGCAGTTAATCCAGATTTCCTAAATTTTGAGAGGCAATTTCTCCATATTGAATGCAAAAAATTATCTTTTATTTAGATGATAAAAAGCAAAATTTTGGGTTTTTTACCATGGGCTAAAATATGGGATTTTGTTTTTAAGTAAAATAATTAGGCAGTTGATAAACTTTTAATTCATTCTAAATCTGCCTGGTAGGAGCTTTGTATAATATTCCTAATTCTCTAGAACATATATGTAAATAAATGTTTCTTTGAATAGGTTACAGTTTTCATGAATTCTCCACCAAATAAAAAAGCATTTCAAAGCCGGGCGCTGGTGGCTCACACCTGTAATCCTAGCTACTGAGGAGGCTGAGATCTAGGATCACTGTTCAAAGCCAGCCTAGGCAGGAAAGTCTGTGAGACTCTGATCTCCAATAAACCACTAGAAAACTGGAAGTGTGGCTCAATAATAAGATTATAAGTAACAGATATATAAGCGAGGGTTGGACATTTCAGGAATAGAGAGTACCCTAGCACTATGGTTCTCCCTTTTCACTGTGCTGACATCTGCAGTCATGGGTAAAAACAAGGATGGGTTAAACTTCTGGTACCATAACATACACTAAGTCAGAGGTAACCAAAGTACACTGCAAGTTATATGTAATTCACTGCCATGTACTTGCAATGAAACAGAAAGAAAGCCAGCTTCACTTAACAATGCCCAATGAAGCAGTAAAAGTGAGTTTTATTAAACCTCATATATTCTATCCTAAAATGCTTTTGTTGCATACCACAACAAAATGTTTAGTTCCAAGCTGATATAGTTGCTTTTTTTTCACAGAATACTTTTTACTGACAAAATATGGCTATTCAGACTTACATATCTAACATATACTCTTGAAAGTATGGCTGTCATTTCAGAGAAAATACAGTGGCCAATAATAAAATTGTTGAACCTTCATATCAACTCTCATGAAACTGATAGCATTTCCAGACTTAAGGATTCTTCTGATTAGATACTGTCAATAATATTAACAAATGTGATTTTCTGATCGCATATGTTTTCCAACAGACATCTGTATGAGTCTAACCAGTTCCCAAATGACTAATTGAATGTCACAAAGCCATCCATAAGACTCAAAGCTTGAGATATAATGCCTTAGTCATTAATGCCAGAAGAAAACATAATTTCCTAAAAATACTTTTCATCATTTTATTCTGTCTAATGATGCTTCATCTGGTTCAGAATCAATACTGGTATGACAATCCAGATAATAAGCTGTAGATAAAGGGAAAAGGAAAGAAATGCACACACATAAATAAGGAAATATATACAATTTTTTTTTTTTTGGGTCCAGTCGTGGGGCCTGAACTCTGGGCCTGGGCACTGTCCCTCAGCTCTTCAGCTCAAGGCTAGCGCTCTACCACTTGAGCCACAGCACCACTTCCGGCTTTTTTCTTTTTTGCTTATGTGGTGCTGAGGAATCGAACCCAGGGCCTCATGCATGCAAGGCAAGTGCTCTACCAATGAGCCACCTTCCCAGCCCAATAAGGAAATATATACAATAGACAAGAAGTAGAAGATACGCTATTGGGTAGGTACTCTCAACAAAGAATCTTCTCAAAAGTTAGCACTGTATGAGGAAGCATACAGAGATGTTTATTATCTATTAGTTTAGATTTACACTAACCAACAACAACAACTAACATTTTCTGACCTTTTAAGTGTTGAAAACCATTTGAATCTTAACACATGTAAGGGCTGGGTATGTGGTTTAGCGGTAGAGTGCTTGCCCAGCATGCGTGAAGCCCTGGGTTTGATTCTTCAGTACCACATAAACAGAAAAAGCCAGAAGTGGCACTGTGGCTCAAGTGGTAGAGTGCTAGCCTTGAGCAAAAGCAGCTCAGGGACAATGCCCAGGCCCTGAGTTCAAGCCCCAGGATTGGCAAACAAGCAAAACCACACACATTTAAGTAGGTACTTTCATTTTCAATATCTAGAGGAAATAGATCAGAGCTGATATTATAATATACACAAATCTTCATTCTTATTATACAAGGCACTGTATCCATATTACTATTTTTTTTTGTAAAACAATAGTTATTCAGGATTCATGCAACTATTGTAGCTTTGATTTGAAAGCCATAGAATTTATCCTGTCATTATTTTTTATTTTATTCTTTTCTGACTGACAAGTTCCAAGTTTCTTATCCATTTTCTTTTTCTTTTTATGTCGGTCATGGGGTTTGAACTCTGGGCTTGGGCGCTGTCCCTCAGCTCTTCAGCTCAAGGCGAGCGCTCTACCGCTTGAGCCACAGAGCCACTTCCGGTTTTTCTAGTGGTTTATTGGAGATAAGTGTCTCAGGTGGCTCGTGCTTGTAATCCTAGCTACTTAGCTACTCAGGAGGCTGAGATCTGAGGATCGTGGTTCAAAGCCAGCCTGGGCAGGAAAGTCCATGAGA